TTGATAACTGATAAATTATAACTGATAAATGATAATTGATAAATGATAACTTATAACTGATAAATGATAACTGTCCTTTCTGAATGTTTGACTGTTTTTGTCTCACTTCATCCTAGAACAAAACATTTATAACATAATAACAGTTGAGCAGATTCTGGTAATCTTTTCTTAGGATTCATTAAAGATCAAATGCAACTGGAAATTCTTCTCAACTTCCAGTATGAATTCAAACAAACACTATATGAACTTAACATTGTAAAATTTGTTTATGAAATTTAATGTTCAAGGACACCACTTAAGAAAAAAAATGTTTAATAGTAAAAGTAAGAAGTGAAAAATGTAGAAAAATAAAAACTACTGCCTCCAACTAATGACTGTGTATCTGTGTGTCCCTTGTCTCACGGGCTTCATCCAGAAGAAGACACAAGTGTTGTTCCTGCTGTGTCCGCTTCAGTTCTTCATGGTCATTCAGTGATGAAAGAAGACTTTTCTTTACTGGACTCTTTTCTCTTTCTCTTCACTAGAAACAAGAAACAGGTGGTTAATTCAAGCTACATACTGTTTTTGAATAAACGCATCAAACAAAGAAAGGTGCAGCTAACAGCTATAATAGATATATTAATAATAAGAAACTGATCAAATAAGAAAATGATAAATAAATTGATTTAAAAATAATGAAAATAATATTATAATAACAGTGGATATATGAATCAGAAAGTATTATACAGATACAGGTATTCTTTATTGTCATTCGCACCACATGTGGTACATGTGGTGGATCAAAATTATGTACACAGGGTCCCAGTTACATCCAACAATAAAATATAAAAGAAAAACAGTAATAAGATCTAAGATATGAACTAATAAAAACATCAACTAAAAATATGATAAGCACTAATAGCATAAAAACAATAAACACAATACGCCGAACAGCAGCACGGACATGAGTCTGTGAACAGATGAGCACGAATGAACACAGCAACATGAAACAGATCAGCAGCAACATGGAGCAGATCAGCAGCA